GCGGTGTACTAGTTTGGCACAAATATTTTTTTTGTAAAATTTAAATAGAGTTTACCCAGAAAAATCAAGGGACGACGTCAGCAAATTGTGGGTAGGAATAGTCACACAAATTTTGGTCAGCGTTGTATCATCTGCATAGTATGCTCGAAATACACCTAACGTTTCTAAAATTTCTCAACACTCAGTGCAGTAATTCGGGAGATTGTTTGTCTAATATCATGGGCGAAAGACGGCAGTCGAAAAACAAACAGAAATGGGAGACCTACTTTTTCCTACTCTAGGAGCTAAATGCTTCCGCTGAGAAGGCATTTTAAAATTAAATTTATGTAAATATTCAAAAAATGTGATTAAGAATGATTTGCATTAAATTCCAACTTCAGCTTCAACTAACTGTCCGAACCTTGAAAATTCTAAATTTGAAATTTTATCATTTTTTTACTGATGGTAAAGAAATCTGATTCAAGGCAGACTTTATACTCGCAGACATATGACCGAATCTTTTGAAATCTTACAAATATTTTAAAATTATGATAACCAGATAAATTTTTAATCAAAATATATTTACTTAAACTCCAAAAACTTGATGACGTCATCTCAAAATTTTGCCGAATAAATCCTGTCTAAAATGTATAAAATATGATCAGCCTATATTTGTAATTTATCAATGCATTCGCGTTTTTAAGATTTGCTTATACAGGGTGACTCAATAGAATTAATGAATCAATCAATTCATTTTATTGAATAAATCAAGAATTGCAAAAATGAATACTTTGAAATGTTCCAGATGATTTAGAATTATTCTAAACATGTAACCAATTATATGTTTATTCTCCCCAAGAAATTGATGACGTCATCTCAAAATTTTGTCAAATAAATCCCACCCAAAATGTGCAAAATATGATGAGTTCTTACTTGCGATTTATCATTGCGTTCATGTGTTTTAGATTTGCCCCCTATATTCTCAGAGGATATGTCATTTGCCACAGTTAGTCTCATCTTAGCAAGGACTAGGCCCGCCCACCCGCCCTCTATTTTCTTAAAGAATATGGTATTTTCCAAAATTAGTTTTATCTCAGCAAGTACTAGCCCCGCCCACCCTGTTTTCTCAAAGGATTATGTCATTTGCCAAAATCAGTCTTAGCTTAGCAAATACTAGCATACCTTTTAAGAAAACAGAGGGCGGGTCAACCCCGGGGCTAGTACTTGCTAAGATACGATTTATTTTGGCAAATTATATATCCTTTGAGAAAACAGAGGGAGGGTGGGCGGGGCTAGTACTTGCTAAGATAAGATTTATTTTAGCAAGTGACATATCCTTTGAGAAAACAGAGGGCGGGTGGGCGGGGCTAGTACTTGCTGAGATAAGACTTATTTTGGCAAATAACATATCCTCTGAGAAAATAACGGGCGGGTGGGCGGGTCTAATACTTGCTAAGACAAGACTGATTTTGCCCCTATTAATCTTGTAAAAACTTGCTAAATTTAAAAGGTGTTAAATTCCAAGTTTCCATAGTAACGGGTTAAATTCCTAAATCTGATTGGGTGTTTATTATTTATGTTTCATGCAACTTCAGGAGCGAGAGAAGTTCGGTTGAAACAACTTTCGACCAATTTTTTTTATTGGTGTTCTTTTGGTTCTTCACAATAACACCGAAACTTCTTTAATAGAGTTATTTAGCTAGGCATTAACTTTGTTACCGTAGAGACTCGGCAGTGGCGGAACTATATCAAAAGAGCATAAAAATCACGCTCAAATCATGCCGTGGATTTTTGAAGGTTTGTCTTTGATAGAATTTTCGCCTTGTTAGATTACCGAAAGTTTGAGTTGAAAATGCAACCACCAAAAACACAGCTTCAAGAATCCACATGTTTTTATTGCTCTCTTGGAATTCACATTATTAGTGGTCGACATTTGGGTTACTACAAGGGTTCAACTTGAAATTTATATTATTCTTGGAATTACTCAATGACATAGTAAAATTGCTCTGAAGAATGACAAATTTACTCTAATGTTAGAAGTCGAAATTTTTCTTTGTATTATTTCACTTCTCAAGCGACCAGTACGTAGATAAATTTGGCGATTTTTATGTTCTTCTGGGAACTCAACGATCTGTCCATTTAAAATTTGGGTTGGTCTTCTTCAAAACTGGAATTACTTTTTCTTAAAATATTCTTCCTGGAAGCATTGTGGATCATCTTTACTTCCAACTTTGTCTATGTAGATTCCTAAAGCAGTAATTAAGGTTTAGTAAACCACAAAAATTGGTTAAGGAACAAAAAAAAATCGTTTACAAAAATATTAAGTTGGTGTTTGAGGTCTACGGAATTTGCTTAAATAATTAAAAAAATCTTATATTTTTGCTGCCTTTTTTAAAGGATTTAAAAGAATGTTGGTGCCCTTGATGTGTTGTGTTTGAAGGAATTAAAACAAATTTTGGGGTTCTGGTGTCTTGTTTTTTGGAAGAATCTTGCTAGCTCTAGAACTTTCCAAAAAGTGTTAATATTGGAAAGAGCACCACCACATATAGAATTCCTCATTGATTAAGAATTTGAAGTCATTTTCACTATGGGCCTTGAAATAAACCTCAACAAATTTTGAAAAATTTTCCAAAAAATTTTAAAACGGTTCCTGCCCGAATAGAAAAAGTCATTTTCATAAACAAATTTGTACATCTGAAACAATGTTTGGAAGTCCGTTTGATGTAACCTAGAAAAATGTGAAAACATTTTCCAAAAATTTCCCAAAAAAATGTCAAAATTGACTCCAAAGCAAAATATCTTTCGACAATATTTCCAAAGAAAGTTATAACGATCTTTTTATAAAAGGAAGCGGCAAATGTTGGATTTTTAATAATTGTCCTCAGATACGAATATGAAAGGATTTGATCTCGCTATATATAAAAAATGGGCAAATAATTTTCAAAAATTTTCCGAAAAGTTTTAAGATTGGAAAGAGCCCCACCACATATAGAATTCCTCATTGATTAAGAATGTGAAGTAATTTTCACTATGGGTTTTGAAATAAACCTCCAAAAAATTGGAGAAATAATTTTGAAAAATTTTCCAGAAAATTTTAAAGCGGTTCCTGCCCGAATAGAAAAAATTATTTTCATAGACCAATTTGTAAATCTCAATTGATTTTTGCAATACCGTTTGAAGTAACCTAGAAAAATGTGAAAACATTTTCCAAAAATCTACCGAAAAGGGGTTAAAACGAAGTCCAAAAGAATATATTTTTCAAAAAAATTTCCAAAAAATGTTAAAACGAACTCTACTCAAAGGGTATGAAATCATTTTAGCTCGAACCCTTCAAACATAAAAATATCGGAAAATAATTTTCAAAATTTTTCCAAAATATGATAAAAATGAAAAGAGCGGCATCACAGAGAATTCCTCCTTGAGTACGAATTTGAAGTAAATGAATTTGAATGATTCTTGAGGTACTACGTGTCTTTTTTTAAAAATTTAGAAGAATCTTGGGAAAATTTTGATAGAGATTAATCAATCTTGGTTTTATTTCGAAACAGGTTAAAAGAGTTTGGAGGTCCCCAATGTTTTTTAAGAATTTCAAAGAATCTTGGGGCTCTGGTTGTTTTGTTTTTGGTTAAAAGCACCCTGCGTCTTCTGCTATTTTATTCTGAAAGAAATTAGAGGACTCTTGGAAACCTTTAATTTTTGAAAAAATTTGAAAAATCTTGCAGGGTGTCTTTAGGGAATCTACACACTGGAAGAGAAAATGCCACTCACTGCTTCCTTGTTTACGAAAAATATACAGACTAGATTGATCCAATTTGCATATAAAATTGTAAATAGAATAAAATAAAATAAAATACTAGTTCGAATGTCTAGACATCTAAAAACTCAACGTTATTCCTCATAACCAATCAACTTTTTCGTACTGTTTACACCGATATCCACTTACTTTGTCGGCAAAAGCAAAAAGTCAAAAATGCCGACAGACACAAAGCCGAAATCATATTTCCTAACCAAAAATGTTAAATCGATTTAGTAAAAAATTCTATATACTTTTAATTCATGTTTGCTACAAACTCAATGTTATTACTTTGATTATAAGTAGTTTGGGTGCTACTTGAAGTTTATATCCAACAGGATTCTCTGCATCCAAGAAAAAATGTAAACTTTCAGTTGGCGAAGGACGAAGAAATGACATTTTCGACCTAATACAATCAAGTTTACACCTTCCACTAGAAATCGCAAATTCTAAAATTGTAAACAAAACAATGTTTTCACTATTTAAAAAGTATATAATTATTCAGTTTATAAGTGTAAACTTTTGTAAGTGGAGTGTTTTTTAATAGGATTTTTTTTGGATTTGTGTCGTTTGTTTTCTGAACGGCGTCCAAAATTTGAAGCGAAAGTATAAATTATAATAATACTAATAGAGAAAGGCATGGACTTTCAAACTTTACATAAATCGATAATATTGTTTTTTAATTATTTGTAGATCATTATTAATGCAATTATAGTAGATTTTGTAACGCAACTAGTTGATTGGATCCACATACCTATTCATTGGATTTTTTCATCTAGTACGGAGATGACGAAGAGCATTTCATCTTAAACACTATATCAAGTGATTTTATGGATATTGTCGTTGTCACTTCTACTTTAATTTTAGTTGCATTCCAATCTAAATTAATATATACACACCCACATTAATTTATAGGATCAAAGTCACAGAAAAACTGCCATAGCACCGAAATTATTTGGTTCTATGCATAATTAATAGAACAAGCCGTATTTTGTACGATTAGATTTCATTTGATGGGATTTTTATGACTTCGTTAGAAACGCGCTCGTGATGGGAAGTAGAGTTTTTTCTACAACTGTTTTTATTGAAAAAAAAAATGGCGAAAGGGAGTTTCAGGTCGATTACACAAACGGATTTGTCCTCACTTTCAAGGTTTCTAGAAATGTGTCAAAAACAGGACCTTGAGAGTGCGAGTGGAGGTAATTAAGCAATTCTGAAACATACTTACGTGGAAGATTTTCAAAACTGCGACATCTTTACCACACTCACAGTTGATATCGTGCGAAGTCATTGTTCTTTTAGTAGATCTGGGGCTTTGCAACTACGATCCTCTTGATGTCTTATTTTCTCTTTCCTCGTCATTTCCTTCTTTTACCTTTAAACTAACAAGTTAATCTACGTACCTTCGCTCGCGTGGTGCCGCTATCGAGCAGTCCGACCTAGGCCAAGTTCTTCGTGTTCAGTATTACACCAGATCGATGTATTCAAATGTTATTCAAATGAATTTTGTGACGTAGAAGTTAGATATTCAAGAGAGCATCAATGAACGACTCGCTCAAGTTCATTAATCTCGAAATAGTAAACTCTGAAAATTTATTGTGGCCATTTCAACAACACAAAACGATATTTTTCATCTGGACCGGGACATACGGCCGGTGTCAATCGGACTTTTTTAATCGATCGTCAGCCATTTGTAAGTTGGTACAATGAAGAAAGCTGACACTTATTAATAACGCGATAAATTATGGCGGACGAAGAAATTTCGATGACATCTTATGTATGTTGTTGAGTATATTTTGTTGGCTATAAAGATGCCAGCGGTGTCGTCACGTTGAACTTGGGAGACTTCTTCGGATGGAACGTAATATTGATGGACTTGAGGCTATTAATACCAATTAAGATCGGGCCGAGTTAATGTGATTGATTTCGGGCCGAGAAACCTCATGGATTGATCTATCGGGGAAGCAGACGGGCGGGGAATTTTGATGGGGCAAATGCGGGCAAACAAGCTGTAATGCATTACATTATTAGAAGATTTACAGAAAAAATATCCTAAAGCTAAATAAATAAAAACGTTTCAAAATAATGGAAAAAAGGAATGACATTCTACAATAGGATGTATTCTGGTTAAATTTACAAAACTCTTGTGATTGCTAACTTTTTTCAGACTCAATCGTAAGTGAATAATAATTTAGGGAAATAGGGGAAAAATATTACAAGTGAAAAAAAACTGAGTAGTTAGATTACGTCAGGACACATCAAGTTAAGTCTAATTTTCAACATATTTCCGTGTATTATGTAATTTCAATTATCTTGCCTCAAAAAACGTACAGAAAATTTGTAGACTGTTTTAACTTGTTTTGAATATATTCTTATATTATTCAAGTGGGACACTTTGTATTTCATAATCATCAGGCTTATTTCTAAGTATAATCGACAAATCTGGGGTGAACAGAAACCTTACTTAAATATAGTTTGGAAAATGTTATAAATTATCGTGTGGTTTGAAAAACATCGGAAAATAATTATTAAATTTAATTCTTACATTTTTTTCTTGATAGTTGTTGATTAAAAAGCCCAATTTTGGTATATAATCTTCAAATGGAATACGGTGTAGTTTTGAAAACACTTTTAAAGTGTTGCTCTAAATGAGTTTAAAGATTTTTTTCAATAGTCCACAATAAATTAATCTTATCCTTTTTAACCAAACCTTTGGAACACTCTGTATATATAAAATACCTATGTATGAAAAAGACAAAAAAAGACAAAAGTCCTGGATTAACTATTATTGTTTAATTAAAAGCAATAGTTAACGCCCTTCTGATTATTGCAAAGAATGTGTTAAAAATCCGTAATAGGAAATTTACCCTCGTTGACGTTTCGTCATTACAAAATTTTTTGAACAAGTACGTACCAGAGCCATAAAAATACGTTTATTATTAATTATATTAATCAGGATTAAATTTTTTAACCTCGATTAGTATCTAAAATTAACTCTACGACCTCACAACAAATCCTCAAATCTCAGAACCTCAAAATCCTCAAATCCTCAAAATCGTCTAATGTCGAAAACCTCATAATCCACAAAATCTTTCAACCATAAAATCCTCAAATCTTCAAAATCGTCAAATCTCCAAACCCTCATAATACTCGAAACACTCAGATCCTTAAAATCCTCGAATCATCAAATCCTCACTTCCAAAAATCTTCAAATCCTCAAAATCCTCGAGTCCTAAAAGTCTTCAAATCCTCAAATTTTCAAAGTCTCAAAATCCTCAAATTCTAGAATTGTCAAATCTTCAAAATCCTCAAATCACCAAGTCCTAAAAATCCTATAATCACTAATCCTCAAATACTCATAATACTCTTATGTTCAAAATCCTCAAATCCCCAAAATCCTCACAACGCCAAATCCTGAAACTCGTCAATCTCCAAACCCTCATAATGTTCAAAATTCGCAAAGCTCCAAATCCTCAAATCTTCAAAATCATCAAATATTCAAATGTTCAAATCCCCAAAATCATCAACTCCTCAAATTCTCAAAATCCATAAATTCTCAAAATCTTCGAAATCCTGAAATCATCAAATCCCCAAAACCTTAAATCACCAAATCCTTTTGATGTCCAAAATCGTCAGATCTTTAAAACCTTAAAATTCTTACATCCTCAAAATTTTCAAGTCTTAAAAATTTTCAAGTCCTCAATTCCTAAAATACTTAAATCGTCAAATCGTCAAAATCCTCAAATCACCAAATCTCCAAAATCGTAAAATCACTAAATCCTCAAATCCTCAAAATTCTCTTATGATCAAAATACTCAAATCTTCAAATACTCAAATCCACAAAATCCTCAATTCATCAAAATCGTTAAATCTCCAAACCCTCAAAATCCTCAAATTACAAAATCTTCAAATCCTCAAAATCCTCGGGTCACCAAATCCTCAAAATTCTTAAATCGTCAATCTCCGAACCGTCATAATGTTCAAAATCCTTAAAGCTCAACATCCTCAAATCTTCAAAATCATCAAATATTCAAATCCTCAAATTCTCAAAATCCATAAATCCTCAAAATCGTCAAATCTCCAAATCCCCATAATCCACAAAATCTTTCAATCACAAAATTCTCAAATTTGTTAGATCTCCAAACCCTCATAACACTCAAAATTTTCAACTCCTCAAAATCTTCGATATCCTGAAATTATCAAATTCCCAAAAGCCTAAAATCAGCAAATCCTTTTGATGTTCAACATCCTCAAATCTTCAAATCTTCAAAATCCTCAAACTCTCAAAATCCTCAAATCCTCAAAACCTCAAAATGTTCAAAATCCAAAATCCTCAGGTCGTAAAAATCTTCAAAACCATCAAATCCTTAAAACCTCAAAATTCTTAATTTTTCAAAATCTTCAAGTACTAAAAATCTTCAAATCCTCCATTCCTTAAATCCTGAAATCGTCAAATCTTCAAAATCCTCAAATCACTAAATCCCCAAAATCCTAAAATCACTAAATTCTCAAAATCTTCAAACTTTCAAGTCATCAAATTCTCAAAATTCTTAAATCCTCAAATCCCTAAAATCGTCAAAATCTCAAATCCTCAAAATTCATAATTCTTCAAATTCATCAAATCTCCAAACCCTCAAAATTCTCAAATCTTCAAATCCTCCAGTCCTCAAAACCTCAAATTCTCAAAATCGTCAAATCGTTCCTCATTTTCCTCAAAATCTACAAATCACGAAATCCTCAAGTACCTCAAATCCTCAAAATCCCAGCATTTTGATGACGAAGTAAATCAATTAAATGTGATATATACGGGGTGAGTTACTAAACGCGTATTCCTCGATATCTCATTAACTACTTATTAGAGATATTAAAAAAAGTAAAATATAATAATAGCACCAAGAAAGAACCTCATGATTTTTTTAAATCGTTGTGAAACAAGGTTCTACAGCGCCATCAAGATTCTTCCAAAAACAAGACATCAAGAAAAATTTTCTCTAAATTCTTAAAAAAAACTAGTAAGAATTCCAAAACCCTTTCAAATTCATGTTTAAACAAAGTACCAGGAGCTACCAAGATTCTTTGAATATCTCCCAAAACAAAATATGTTCCAGAGGTCCCAGTATTCAAAATTCTTTTAAATTCTTAAAAAATACTAGAAATCTCAAAATTCTTTCAACTTTTTGAAAAAAAAAAACAAGGGACGTAAATTTTCATTTTAATCTTCTTCAAAAATAAAATACCAGAGGCGTTCGAGTTTTTTCTAATTTGTTCAAAAACGGAATATTATGGGCCCCACGATTTTTTTAAATTCTTTCAAAAACAAAACACAAGGGTCTTCAAGATTTTTTCAATGCAACAGTTTTCAAAAACGGAACACCAAGAACCCGAATATTGTTTCAAATTCTCAAAAAAAAAAACACTAAGGACTTTAATATTCTCTCGAAATCTTAAAAAAAACTAGGCTCTTATAATTGGTTCATTTTTTTTTTGCAAAACGAAACATTAGAAGGCCTGAAAATTTGTTCAAATTGTTCCAATAACAAAATGTAAAGATGAATTTAACTCTTTCAAAATTTCCTCTAGATTCTTTTAAATTCTTAAAAAAAGACACTTGGGACTTCAGGTTTCTTTTAAATCCTTAAAAAGAAAATACTAGAAACATCAAAAAATTTTTTTTCAACTAAGTAAGTCAAATTTCCTCTAGATTCTTCTAAATTCTTTAAAACAACATAAAGGACTACTTCAGTTTTTTTCAAAACAAAATACCAGAAGCCTCCAAGGTCTCAGTCAAATACAAAGCATCAAGGGCATTGATATTCTTTTAGATTCCATGAAAAATCACTTCAAAATTCTTTCACAATCTTAAAAAAACACTACCAGGGAACTAAAAATTCTTTCAGCAAAACGAAACAATAAAAGGTCTCGAAGATTCTTTTAAATTTTTGGCCAAAACATAACGCAATCACCTCAAGATGCTTTCAAATTGTTTCAAAAACAGAACACCAACGTTTATTAATCTTTTTCAAAATTCTCTAACATACTAAAAGCTCCAAGATTCTTGTATTTTTTTTTTTTTTCAAGAACTAGGTTCCCAAAATTCTTCCAATTTCTTTTAAAATAAAATAACAGAGGCCGCAAAAGGTCTTCAACTTTTTCCTCTATATTGTTTTCAGTTCTTTAAAAAAGATACTAAAGATTCCAAAATTTTTTTCATTTTCCTAAATGCAAAATACCAGAGGATTCCAAGATCTCACTCAAACGCAAAACACCAAGGGTACCAGTAAAAATTCTTTTAAAAAATGGAACAGGGACTTCAAGATCCTTTCAACATCTTACAGAAGAACACTACTCGGAACCTCAAAATTCTTTTAACTTTTTCAGAACGGAATACCAGAAGGCCCAAAAATTTTTTTGATCACTTAAAAAAAAATAACAGGAGCCTCCATTTTTTTTAAATTGTTGAAAAATAAAAAATCAAAGTTTGTTAATTTCTTTCCAAAATTTCCTCAAGACTTTTTAATTCTTAAAAAAAAGACAATAACGGATCTCCATATTTATCCAAATTCGGTCTATAATAAGGTTCCAGTGGTCCCAAAAATTCTTAAAAAAAAGGATAAAGAACCTTAATATTCTTTTAAATATTTTCAAAATCAAAACACAACCCTCTGAGATTCTTTTAAATTAAAAAAAATATTTCAGCATTCGTTTAAATTGTTTCAAAAACAAAACACAAGGGCTCTCGAGATTGTTTTAATTTGTTTTAACAACAAAACACCAAGGTTTATTAATTTCTTGGAAATTTCCTCAAGATTTTTTCAAATTTTAAAAATAGATTAAGGATACCTACATTCTTTCAAATTCGTTTGAATACAAAGTACCCGGGCCTTCCAAGATGTTTTCAATTTATCTCAAAACAAAATATCAGAGGCTCCGAAAGTCTCTTTCAAAAACAAGACGCCAGGACCCAAAGTCTTATAAATTCTTATAAAAAGGCACTGGCGA